CATGTGCGATTATGCGAGAAAAAACTCGACGGTATCCATTTCGACGTGCCTGAAAAAGATCGTGCAAATAGCGAGAATTTCCAAAACATTTATTGTTTTGTCGCGGACTTTTTTTTAACGTGACGCATAAATACAAGAATCGCGCGGAAGATTCATTTTTGTGGAGAAATAAAATGTCAGCGGAAACATTATTGCCGCTTTCACAGAAATATGCTAAATAACACAGCTCGGGTGTTATTACACGTACTGTTCTCACTTCTCCATTGTTTATTCCATAAGATTATTTTCATACGGTATCTTCATTATATTCTCTTGGTTTTATAATACATTATTTTATTTTTATTTTCATACCATGCAATAATGCAAAGACAGTTATTTAAGAGTTTTTAATTCTGAGAAAATATAATATAATCATTGCTAAATTTTTTATATCACGGTATACATTTGGGCCTTTTCTGAAATACAAAATTAAAATAAACAGTGAAATTTTAAATATGCAACTTTCGCAAAATATTGCAAAATACTTTCGTTCTAAACGTTAGAATATTTTTCATGGTTGTCAATATATTGGTATGACTTTATTGAAACAAAATAGATAGATATTTGAAAAATCTAAGTATCGCGTCGAAATATATAAAAAATATATATATTTTCAATAAACCGTCGTCAGGTTTTCACAACAAAAAAACATATATACAATAAATATATATTTTAAATTAAAAAACTGACATTATATATATTATAATAGTAATAAAGAAAATTAGAGTAAATTCAAAAATAAATAAATTAAAAAAAAAAATTAAATTAAATTAAAAAATAAATTAAATTAAAATTAAATAAATTTTTTAAATACTTTCTAAGTTACAATACTTGTATAGCTATAGAACAATAGATCATACATCTATTACTATTTTTTAAAAGTTAAAAAATAAAATATATAGATTGCAAAGTAAATGTAGAAAATGATATATGTATGTATATATATATATATATATCTGTCAAATGCTGTTATCACTATAAAATATTACTTTCAATTAAACTTTCAATTAATAAGTAACAAAAAAGCTTTCAGTACGATAAATACTGGATCTTTTCCGACTTTTAGCTATAAAATAATATTTAAAATATTTTTTATTCAAAATGCAGCTATTAAATCGTTAAAAATAAGTATACTGTACTGCTACATGTTTTTAATTATCTACATATTATTAAAAAAAAAAAAAAAATCTCTAGATGTAAGTACATTTTTATGACATTTTTCCTTAGATATGTTATTCCAATTTTTACTAGTATTGGTGTTCACGTTCACAGCTGAACGATTCAATAGATATTGGGTTATTCCAATTCACAATTGCAGCCATTGCAATTTCGCTTCAAATCGTTCGCACTAATACATCGAAATTTTCATCTACAATAATAATTCTAGCAAAGAATACGAAAAATGTACGCAGTTCCCCGCGCCCCGCGTTATCGGTTCATCTCAATTCTTTCAATTTTCTCCCTTTTCATTTGAGTATCGATCCTGTATGCTTTTAAATGTAGTTATCCTTATAAAAAAACATTTTACTTGTGTTCCTTATTGTAAAATTTAACGCGCATACGTAACATATTCCGGATTATGGAACAAATAAAAATCAGCATATCATCGAACGTATCGCGAATAAGACGTCGTATTGATTCGAGGAGTGAAGCTGCGCCGGAGTGTTAGCTACCGGACATAAATTATGCACTATCAGTGGAGCCGATAAGTATTAGTTTAGTTTGAAATTTGTTAGCTGAGTCGAGCATTCGAGGGTAACGGCTTTCACAGTCACGAGCGGGGAAAAAAAGTACGGCGAAGTTAGATGAATCATGAATAAATTTACGCGTCGAACCTTTATTCCGAAATGATCCAAGTTTCTTTATAGTATATACTTCCGTCGCTACGCGGTAATACCAGAACTTATATCGCGGCAGAACATAAATTACTGGTACACGTAAATTAAGTGTGCCAGTGTCCTTTTGACTAAAATTTACATTCGCCATATTAAATATTGTCACAGAAACAAATTGCTTGTCGCGGAATCTATCCGTTGGCAAGGTATCTCCTGCTCTGCCACTTTTGCAATATGAGAAAATAACTCTTATTTTTGCGTGTGCATTCGATACTTTTACGCTTATTACGATTATTAAGTGTCATTCGTATCAAATTCGGTACAAATTAATTCATCACTTCAATTTATCGTTTGTTTGCATAATTATCAGACTATTTGATTATTAACGTTTAGGATAATAACCTTTCCAACAGTAATTAGTAAAAACAAAGATTAGCAGAAATTAATGACGAATAATCATTGTGTTCATTTTCTCGTTTCGATCGAGCACCAATGTGTCGTAACAAGATATATTGTATTTCGAATGGAATCGCGTGTATTATCAACAGAATAGGTACATAAATTCTGTACTAAAAGTCGTATCTTTGGCACAAGTCTCTTTGAAAGAGATCGAATCTTCTATTATCTCGTGTTATCGTAGACAGAAATAACACTCGTTCGTTCGAGCTGGCGCAGCCAGCACTCAAGCGACTGAACTTACGACGCCAGTCGGGAGCGGCTGCAGACTCAATTAGCCTCGCGGAAAACTTTCATGGAGGGATTACGATGTCAACAACGTCTTTCTTGCGCGAATGACGTTCCGCGCGTCGGGCAAAATTGTTGTTTATCGAAATGGCAGTCTTCCAAGCGCGGCATGCCGTCACGCTTTTGAAATCACGTCAAATACTTGACTATTTAACTCCAGTTTACTGTATTCTCTGCCATGAGTATTTATCTTCATTTCAATTTTCATTATTCGACCTCTAAAAGCAAACTATTTCTCGAACGTACAGTTTCGAAGAGTTTTATTTTGAAATATTTAAAAAATTTGCAAAAAATCCACGATAAATTCGTAATTTACATAAAGAGGTAGGTGGTTTAGTGGTGACCCTAAATAAAAGAACACTGATAGATGTTGATAAGAAAAGTTAAATGAACAAAAGATCAGACGATTTAATAAGAGTTTGCAATCAACATATCTGTAATGTGCATTTATCTGAAACGTGAAACCCAATACATCGAATGGATCCTGTTTTGTATAAAAAAAAAGTGATTACAGTTTCGATGACCGCGATATTATATACGCGATTGTATCAAACAACATATCGCTATGTATATAATATTTTAGCTTTGCACTATTTATTTATCTTTTTTTTTATAGAATCCTGAATATTCATCAAAAGCGTATGTGCAAAAATGTAGACGTTAATTTAAATAGCACACCGTTTCAATAAACATTTCAATAACAAATGGTAAGATTCTGTGACAACTTTTGCAGAAATTATAATTACTTTCAAATAGCAAACGATGATTAAAATCGTAATTTAATTAGTAATTACGATTCTGATAAAGCGCTCAACCATAATGGAGAGCACACATTTCATCCAGATTCCTTTCTTCATATTGACGCAGTTGTAACTATAATTTAATATTCTCTAATTGATTTTTAATTATGCACGACTGATTAACATATTGTGCACGCAGACAATACTGACATGAGGATATATCGTATATTCCGCGTATATCTTGTTATTATGCAAATTTCTCTCATAACAATTTAATGTTGAATTTTACGTTCCCTTTTCAATTTACAATAAATTGGTTTGTCGATGTAATGCTCGATATATCATTATCTTTTATTCAAATTTTTTACGCTTACTATAACCGTAAACGAAGCTGTCAGCATTTCTATACTGAAAATATGCGCAAATGAATGCGAATGGAAAGAGTAGATTCAGCGGTATCGTTCACATTTTCGCAGGGATATCTCACATAAATCACAATACAATTTGTCTGATTTCATTTATCGATATTACGTTATCGAGAAATTGACAATTAATCTATTCTCGTTTCTATAAACAGATTATGTATTTTTTAAAATACATAATATTATTTTTAAAGAGAATTTATTTTGAAAAGAAAAATTTGTCGTTTTCTCTTTTTTTTCTTTCATTTATAAATAATTTATTATCACGTCAACTATACAGGAGTTATCAGATAAATTCTGGTTCAAAGAAGAAGTAATTTCTCACAAAAAAAAAAAAACAAATACGAAATATGGAATAAGTTTTTGTAATTGGCTTATTATCGATATATATATATATTCGATAAAAGTGTACATTTATTTATATATTTATAAGAATAAACCATCAGTTTGAAAGTGATCAAAGTCTCAGAAATAGCAGCCCAACAAATCTTCCATTTACTCGTTATGAGAATCAAATCGTTTATATCTCCCGAAAAAAAGATTATTCGAAAAAACGATGAGATTTGACCGGAAACACTTTTTTTCGTCCAAAAGTAGCTAAACTAGCATCGATCCGATGTCATGATATCGATCAAGTTTCACACAGCTTCTTTTCCGCTACTTTCCATTACCTCTAAATCCTTCAAATCGAAATCGATCGCGACGGTCGGCCGCGATACGGCGCAAGCTTTAAGGACAAGCTGGAGCATGGTGACTTTTACGATTCTATTCTAGGCGTGGGTGTTATTGGCCGAAGGGCTGTCTCAGATCGATCTCCTCTCGCTCTCCTACGTTACGCCGCGCCGTCTCGCAAAGCCGCTACCAAGATTCTCCATCATTCGCACTAACCCCCTTCTATACTTTTCTGCGGTTTCTCCTGAGTACCTATTCCTATGTAGTTTTGCGAGTTACCAAGATATCGCTTTGTGACTTTTGACCTACTGTCTTGAGAAATACTCTATATACATATGTATATAAATAGTATCCGTCGAACTATAATAATAGGTAGACATGATAATCGCGAAAGAGATTTTCGAAATATAATAACACGACGGAAAAAGAATGAAGGAAACGTGATGCTGTTAATACGAGATGTAATCTTTCTGTCAGACTTTCAATTTAAATCATTCTTTTTGTCGTGCTTTAGATATTGGAAACGGTTATATTAGCGTTGTACTCACCTGGTCGGCGATCTCCGTTAGGTCGTGCAGACTTATGTTGTAAATGGCGTTCCTGCAAAACGAAACGAGAGCGTTAAATCCTACCCATAAATCGTCCCTGTAATCTCTGTGCTTCGTGCGTCTCCGTGTCGACAACTCGGATTGAAACGTGAGTAAGCATCGGCAATTATGAGTAAAACAGCAAAAATGACGCACAAAGAACGCGATATATTTAAAAGATAAATTGTGGACGTTCATTCAACGAATATAAAAACCGTTTTCAGGTGACTTCTAAATCTTGCATGTGCAGAAGAAATAGAAGTGCGAAACATAAATCAGGCGGAAAAACTGCAAAGACAAAATTGGAACCGTGAAAAGACCCATGCTATGTATCTCGGATGTAATTGATTTTACGAGTTCGGAACGTTGCGCTGACTGTTGGTGGAGAGTACGAGCGGAAAAAAATTAAATTATTTTTTGATTCATATCAAATTTCCATTAGCCAATGTATTTGTATCAGATCCCACAAAGAGATACGCTATTGATCTCCACCACTTTAATAGCGTGACTGGACCAAATTGATAAAATAATGTTAGGTAATATAAGTGTTTTTGTATGTATACACGCACAACTATAATGCACAATAATGGCAAAACGATAATCGCCTCTCTTTAAAATACGAAATAAATTTTTGAACGTGAACTATCTTTCTCTTTGTACTCTCTATCGATCGAATCGCTTGCGGATAACAAGATGTCTCAAATCCATTTTCCCTCTACAAGTTCTTTGATCAATTTGGAACAGGCATTTCTTAATAAAAAAGTTAAAAGATTGACAATAGCCAAGTTACAATAAGCAACCGAAAATAAAAATCTTTTTGAAAATTAAATGTCACGGATTAAAAAAACGTAATAAAATCGTTCTGCATTTAATTTAATTTTAAATAATCTTTAATAGAATTTTACTTTCAAACTTACTCAACAAAATGAATAGTGTTAAAAATAAATAATTTTTTTAAGTATTATTTTATTAAATCATTACTAAATTGAAACTGGAGAGTTAAGAAATTCATAGTTCAAGAGTGGTCTGATACATGCGGTATGCTGCAAGCTGCCTTTGGCCTTTGAATACAAATGAATAGTGCGCGTCGCCGCATAAACCGCATCTCTGTTTGCTACTAATATGCGTGATGCTGCGTCACCCGCTGCTGATGCGTAATCGAATGAATGACTCGACCCGTCGGCCACTTGGGGCTCGTGGCACCAATGAGCAGAGTCTAGCCGATGACTATCTCATTTATGTAAGCCCCCACGAGTAGCACGTGGGGACGACACGACGAAGAATCGAATTATGTAACAATTACCTGGCACCAATCAGGATAGAGGTTGTCGCACGTTCCAAGAGTTTGAAGTGCTCCACATGGCTTTCATTTCCTAGAAACCGCTGGCCAATCACCTCACCTGTAACAAAAAAAAAAGACGTTTCGATTAGCTTCAGAATTATGATTCTTCCAACAAAGAAGAAAAAAATGATATTCTTATAATTTCAAAATTATAATAATCGTGTAATCTATGGTTGCACGAAAAGAATGATTTCGCTGAAGTATCTAAAAAGTTTAGCTGAATACCGATCTGAAAATAAATTTTGTTGAATTATGAAAATAATTAATTATGTAGGACACTCAAACTAATTGTTAGAATATCAACATTTTTTGCAGCGTTGCTTGTCATGCTTGAATTTCCTACATAATTATTTTGATCGTCCAATAAAATTATTTTCAGGTTTCTATTTTTCAGATATCTACTTAAATTTTTAAATACTTCAGCAAAATCGTTCTCTCTCCGTATGATAAGCATTAGAGAAAATGTGATTAACTACATAAAATATTTCCTGAAAAACGTTTAAAAATTGTTTTTTATTGATTTCTCTTTATAATGTAACAAAAATATACACTAAATGAAAAAAAAAATATATATATATACCTAATAAATAAGAAAATTAAATCTAAATAGTAAATAACATTCTTAGTATAAGTATGGATTTCGTATAAATTATTTGCAGAAAATGTTTTCCGTGAATCAATCAATCATGCATCTGAATCATAATACGCGTCGGATTTCGCGCATCATGCTACAATCTTCCTATTACATTCTCACGTCCGCGAATGAACCATTCGCGTATACATTATTCGCACGTGCACAACTTTACATGCACATATTAATCGATAATGTACAGATTGTTCTAAAACTTTAACCATATTCCGTTCGTAGATCTGTAAATTAATTTTAAGGTACGTGATTATTTTTCTCTTTAACTCGATCATCATTGTCGCAAATTTTTAAAATTTTCAGCATCAGATATTCATTGTACAACTCATCTCAAAATTATAAATCTAATTCCATTTAAAATTAAATAAAGTTAAAGAGCTTCACTGTTTGCTTCTTTAAGGTTTATTTTCAGAAAAGCTTGATTCTCGACTGCTTAAGCTAAAAAGCTACTCTGGCGTCTTTTTTTAATCCCTTTGCTCGGGTCGAGTCTAAACTAATCAAATGATCCGGTAGAGTAGATAAAAGATAGCTGAATAAGTCAGGGACACTCCGTGGAATCCACGACGGTATCCGCAGCGGGACCGCGATATAACGACGACGCATCGACTGCATCTCATCGAAGAACTTGTTACGATAAGCGAAGGGGGTTAGAGAGGGACGTAGCAAGTATGCAAAGAAGATATCCAGGAAGTACGTGTAAAAGACTGAAAGGTAGAGCGTCTCTTAGCCTTTAGTTGACGATAAAGCGCCGCGCCTACTTTGTGGCAACAGCAGCGGCGGCGGCGGCGGCGGCTCTTCACTCGATTCTCCACCCCCATCTCTCCATCCCTCTTTCTCTCTCTTTCTCATTGCAAACTACCATCTGACACTCCACATCGTTTCACAACCCTTTCTTTCCTATCTACCTATCTACGACCATCGTATCCGAACCCTTTCACACGCAGTCGACAGAGCATTTCTTCTTCTATATATATATATATATATATATTCCGCGTTATGTTTTTTCACTTACGTATGCGACCACATTATGGCATGTACTGGGAATAGGGAAGAAATATAAGAAAGAGAAAAGTAGGAGCGAAAAATTCTCTGATCTTTTCTCTGTACCAATACAACTTCGAGGATTCTTGAAGAAAATTCTTTATGAAATCTCTCTGTTTTTTATTTTGAAATATTACTTTTATGCATTTGTTTCTCCGTGTAGTGCAATTATAACTGTCGTCTCATTAAGAGCAAAATAAAAACAGTTAAAAAAATTATTAAAAAGAGTTACTTTCTTACAAAGATGATTATGCAAATCAAATTTAATTTTTGAAGGAAAATAAGAAAAATTGAATAGCATAATAGAAATTTATAATATATAATAATAAGCAATATACATATTCATATATATTTTCATATATATTCATAATTTATTATTTTTTGTGGTTTTGTTTTTTAATTAATTCATGACGATATCTTTGTGCAAAATGCATCCAATAAACGTTAAAAATAAGCGTAATAAAATTTCGATATGCATGAAATGCGAAATGTAACGGTATATATTCATGAATGAGACGAAAGAGGTGAAGTTCAAATAGCATTCGGAATCGCTATAGCAAAGGCTTAAAGTCCGTATCATCGACTACGTGAGATCGCGCGGATGAGTTTTCCGATACGTTAATCGGGTCGGATAGCATTCTCGTTCGACACTGATCTGCTCTCTATATTCGTAAGAGCGGAAGCAGACTGTCGTCGAGATCTATAAGAGCTCAAGAATAATCCTACTTGCAATGCATATGACCGTCACCGGTAGAAGAAGTAGCTATTTTTTCTGCATAGCCTGACGCAATGCATTTCACTTTACAATAGTAATTTAAAAAAATCACGAACCGTAAGCAAAGAAATTCTTCGAATTCCAATCGGCTTTTTGCGATCGATGGCTTAGGAGAATTTTTATTTTCAGATCAAATTTATTGTTTGTCCTCGAGGGAAAAAAATTTATATGTACAGAAAAATATGATCTTTTAATAAAAATTCGCTTCACTTGTTTTAAATATACGATATTTGAATATATCACGACATATGTTCATCAAAAATTATTTTGTTCGATAAAGCTTCTATATAAATTATATAGGTGTATTATACTGACAGAAAGGATTGGCTGCAGCAAATTAGATGGTAAAATATAGCATAACATTTTTAATTGGCTGCAGCAGTCAATTTTTGATTGCATTAGCCTATCCGCAGTGTCAGTATAGGATTTCGATAGGCTAACACAACCAAAAATTATCGAGAAATGTCATGAATATCATCACAGTAACAAAATAGAAACGTTTTCTCTATATACTTGTATATTTGCCGAGCTTTAAAGCATTCGCGTTACTTTTTGCGTTTTTAGCGGTCAATTTGTATTAATTCCAATAGGACGCATTTTATAAATCAATTTTCCACAGAGATGCAGTACATCTGAAACGTTTATACACCCATATATGGAACAGCGAGCGGATTTATGTGATTGAATTTCAAAGCTATCAGTCAACCAATAATTTCTTTATCATTCATTGGATTCCATCGATTTTCAATTTCTTTTATCGAAAAGATAATTTTTGTGCAATTTGTGTTACGTACATGTACACATGTTAGTTAAAATTTGTAATTAGTGCTACATAATTAATAAAATTTAATAAAAATAATTTCTATATAAAAAATTAATATAATTGTTTTTTCATTACAAATTTGACATCTATGTCTTATAGAATTTTATACTTCTTAAAACATTTATGGTTTACTTTAGATTCTCTAATAAGAATTTCTCACGCGTAATAGTCTGTTAGGAATAGATAAAAATACATATAAACTTATTGGAAATGCGTTAACCTTTTTATCTTTGCAAAGAAAATTTAGAAAATATCTAACTATCAGGAAATATTTTCATCATAAATTAAATTCTAATAATGACTAGAAACGAATCGAGTAATTATTTGCGCATACATAACATCTTATAAGCGAAATAAAGCGAGCAGAATCAATTCTGAAATTATTAATTAAAAAATAAAGAAAAATAAAGGAAAGATAAAGGAAGAGAAAAAAAGGAAAAATAAAGAAAATTTAAATTCTAATTATTTTTATAATTTATAAGATAATTACTTATTTTATATATTTTTTATGATATTAATAAAATCATTGCATGAACAATTTTGATTTTATAAGAAAATATGTATAATGTTATTTTACAATATACTCGAGATTCACTAAAATCACTAAACAATCATTGCGATGTTTGTCGTTAACCGCTTACTTATGCTGGCATTTGTGATTAATATAGTCATCTGAGTTGTTCAGTTCTAAGATTGCTTCCATAAATACAATTCCTTAACGATAAGACAATGTAATTCTACCCATCATTCAACCCCGATTATTATCAAATAAAATTCAAGAAAACCTTATAAACTTATTTGCAAGGCGAATATACTTTCCTTTACGTTAGTATACGTTACCTTAATTTCGACAGCGTTGTTCTTTACAATCTCGTGATGCATATGGATATAGTTCCTAGATACGATTGCACTTTACCTACTACATACATATGCATAGATGTACATATATTGTAATCATGGTTTATAACGGAGGGTGAGTTCGGCACGCGCCAGCTCTTACGATGTAATTTCTTATTCCCGAGCATCGTCACCGCCTCTCATCAGCACGCGACTGATACAGATAAGGATCGATCTTTGCCTCAAAAATATACAAAATGTCTTAGGATTACCAAAAGCACTTTCAACTACTCATAAATTACACACAGATTTTTAAATTATATATATATTGCTCTTATTAATCTGTAAAGCGATAGTGAAAATTATCCTATACTGCTACATCACAGAATATAATTATAATAAATCGTAAAAATGGATAATATGTAACAATCAATAATATGTTGAAAGTTTTTTCAAAACTTGGATTCATGTACAGTACAAATTTAGAATCAATGCTCATTAAATATGTTGAAAATAGCCAATATCTCTTTTCCAACAATTTCAATAGGTTCTCCAATAATTATTAAAAAATTGTAGAGATTTATCGATGTCTTTAAATATAATTGGTATAAAATATGAAATAGACTACGGTCAGTAGTTCTGTAACACCCTGTGTATCGTGTACAGATAACATGAAGACCCGATGGTGGCATGGATAAACGAAATTGACTCCTCGACGAGTCGAGTCGTTTTCGAAACGTATATTGATATCGGCTCGTGGCTTACGAATCCCGGCCCGCATTGACTCGAATCAATTTCCTTGGCTAGTCGATGCTTATCGACAACCCTGCTTCCTCTATCAATGTTTGGTCGGTGATCGATCGAGCTACGTTCCGATTTCGTTTAATTTTCATCACGTGACAGTGGATCTCCATTGCTGAAAGCAGTACATGCGAT